TTTTTTTTTTTTTTGGTAGCACCAGAAATCAAACTCACAGCCTTGCACTTGCCAGGCAGGTGCATGCCCCTGAACCACTGAGCTATATCCCTGACCCCCATATAAAAACTGTTTACATTTAACACCCCAGAAGCTGCCATAGGAGGATGAATGTGTACCTTAGTGTTAGAATGCTTGCCTGATGTGTGAGGGCCCTGGGTTTGCACCCCAGGGCCCTAGGAGACATGCACACATATTTAAATGTGTAACATACACCCACACATGTGCACTAGACTGGCACTGGTGCTGAGCCACTAGAATGTTGACAAAGGCGTCTCGTCAGCAGGAAGCCCGTTTTCCACCACTCAGCATCTCCAAGGCGAGGCGCTTCTGAGTGATCCCTGGTGCGCGCTGCCTCTGCAGGGCAGTGGTGCGTCATATTTGAGCTACAACCTATGTAAAGTTGTGTATTTCCCATACAGTGAGATAGCACTTGTGGTTTTTTAACATAATTCATAGTGTCTTTCTTGCTGGTTTTTCTTGTTTTGGTTTTGTTTTTCTGAGGCAGCATCTTGCTATGTAGTTTAGGCTGGTCTAGAACTCACTATGTAGCACAAGCTGGCCTCAAAATTTCAGTGATCCTCCTGCCTCAGCCTCCCACCTGTTGGAATTACACACAAAGGCCAGAGAATTCAGCTTGGATGAATATCTTAGGAAGTCATTACAATTCCCCTCTGTGTTCAGCCTGTCTGTCCAGTTAAGGGTGTTCCTTGTGGACACAGTGCCCTTTCTGGTCACTCAGCCTCTGTTGCAGTTAGAAACCTAGATTGGGAACTCACACAGCACAGGGAACCCTGACACCACGTTTGTTCTCTGAGCCGCACTGGCAGGAGAGGCGGGCTACGCTGAGGCCGCTGGCGGGCTGTGGATGCAGCACAGTGCAGGAGGACGTGAGCAGAGTGCCTGCGTGTGCAGCAGCCATGGCCCCGGGCAGCTCCCTGCTCTGTCCCGCAGCAGTCAGGACACTCTGGAGTCAGAAGCGGAAGGGTGGCAGCTGTGCCTCGTCGTGCTGCTCAGCTTCCTGGAGGAGCAGCATGCAAACCCCTTTCCTTGCTTTTGTAGAGTGCAGAGAGCAGCTTACAGCAGAAGAATGAAGCCATCACGTCTTTTGAAGAAAAGACCAGTCAAGTTCTGTCCAGCATGAAACAGATG